GCAGTTTTTGCATTGATGGTGGCGATAATATAGTGTTTGTGTTGTTAGTTTTGGGAGATGCATGTACAAGCATATACAGTGCTAGTCACGGCATTATGCCAGGTGAGTGCCCTGGCATAATGCTGTGACAAAAATCAAAGGCCTACCATACGGGGTGGCCTTTTTTCATCAGTGCATTATGCTGGGTAGCAGCCATTAGCATGATGTCACGGCCTGCCACCACACTCCAAAGTGACCCCTCATGTGGCTGCTGTGGTGAGAGAAAGTGTTGCACTTTTGTCTCTCATCTGCCCCATCTTTTGTCTGGTGTTCTCTTTGGTTTTGGGGCTATACCTGTTTGATTATGGGTAAAAAGAAGTTTTTAACACCTGAAACTATAGCTCAGATCATAGGGCTTCACAAAGCTGGGCACCAGATGAAAGAAATAGTGGAGAATGTTGGTGTGTGTGAGCGTTCAATGAGGAACTGGGTGCAGCATTTCAAGGCTGATGGCAGTATCGAGTTACCGTCTGCCAAACCTCGGAGTGGCCCCTTGAAGAAGACATCTGTTCGTACCTTAACTGTGTTAAAGAAGCAGTTAGAGAGTACACCTAAGATGACTGCTAGAGAATTGAAAGAAAAGAATCCACATCTTCTGTCAGAAATGTCTGTAAGAACTGTTAACAGATGTGTCAGAACTGGGCTACAGTAGTCACCACCAGGTTAAGAAACCGATCCTCTCCAAGTCACGGAAGAAACGTAGGCTGGATTATGCAAAGAAATATCTTCATTGGAATCCTCAACAGTGGTCTGAAGTACTTTGGAGTGATGAAGCAACCTTCACCGTCACCTGTAACCGTGAGGGACGTGTATACTGGCCCAGAGGTAGTGACCAGCTAGACCCACGCTACACCTGTGGAACCACCAAACACCCAGACTCACTCATGGTTTGAGGGTGTTTCAGTGCTCAGTGTTGGTAAACTCACTGTGCTTCCCAAAAACCAATATATGAACTAGTATAATTACCTGGAGTTATTGTGTGACAATTTACCCGAGGCGTTTGACTAGTGTGAGGCTACGGTTTTTGTGCAGGATGGTGCACCGTGTCATACTGACAAATCTGTAGTTCAGTGGATTAAGGACCGTGAAGCGAGGTTCTTTAACCCTTTCAGGGTCCAAGGCCCAAATCTGGAGTCATGCACCAGTGTCCAAGAATTTTCAAAAAAAAAATTTGTTATTTTTTCTTATGAAATCGTAGAGAATCTTTTTGTGAAGGTAATAAAACAAAAAGTACGAAATTTGGTGGAAAATTGACGAAATTATGCTCTCGCGAATTTTGATGTGTCAGCGATATTTACGAATCGGCGATTTTGCCGACTTTGACTCCCATTTTAGGCCAATTACATTATTCCAATCAACCAAATTCTTAGCTATTTCACTAGTATTACTTCTATTCTATCGATTGAGCACAAGAAATCGCCAAGTCAACTGTTTCAACTACAAAATAAAGTGATCGGAAATTGTTAATTTGGCCAATTTAACACAAAGTTCAAAATATTCCAATTTTAAAATAGGGTCCAGAATGAACAATGTAGGCATTCCTGGCACTAAACTAACATTTCCTCTGTTCATTAGTTATGTTTTGAGGCTTTACAAATAAATTCCATTTTGATTTTTTATTCACATAATGAATTTTTATTCACACCAAAAAATAGAAGATTTACTGTTATGCAATACTGTAATAATTGTATAAATAATCATCACCATATTTGTGAATGTATATTAGACCCACCAGCTGACGTGTATTAGACGTATGAGGTCGTTTGTTTACTCTTGAATATCGGCAAAAATTTAACATTTCTGCTACTTTGAGCTCAGTTTCAAGCCATTTCCAGTGCTAAAAACCAATCAAAATCATCTCTATTTCTGTAATATGTCTTCCATTCTATCAAATGAGACCAAGAAATCGCAAATACAACTATAAAACACATACGAAAAAACACTGCAAAGTTGCTGTTTTAATCGAAAAATCATGATTTCATTTTTTTTCTCTCATTATACACAGTGTGCTGCAGGATCTGTTTTATGTGGTGCACACATACCACATAGATGTATTCTCTCATATCTAGGCCCAAATGTACCACTCACAGTTTATCAGAGTGAGCTGAGCTCATGGCGTAGATCTACGGTTTGGACCCTGAACGTAAAGCCGTAGATCTACGGGACGGACCCTGAAAGGGTTAATGACTGGCCAGGCAATTCCCCAGACCTAAACCCTATTGAGAACCTCTGGTCAATAGTGAAACGAAGTTTACTGGGCAAGGATATCAGTTCCATCCCACAGCTGGAGGGTGCTCTACACGAGGCATTGAATAATAATCCTCCCTAAACCCTCAAGAATTTGAGTCTTCCTACATGGCTCAGGGATGTGATTCAGCATAAAGAACACAGCACCACACCAAATATTAAAACCTCAGTAAGTGTGCAAATATATATATTATAATCTTTCATGGTATGTGTTTGTGTTTTGGTACATGTGTGGGGGAGGGGCGGCATAATGCCATGACTAGCACTGTATATACACACCCCTAGGGTTTTCTTCTATTTTCTTTCTAGTACTTGTTTATTTCCTCTTATCTCCATGGGGAAGTGGAACAGAATTCTTCCTCAGTAAGCCATGTATGCCATAAGAGAGAGACATACAGCAGATTTCCAAGAAAGTCTCCAAAACGGTAGACATCCTTTCAAAGATATGGTACTATGTACCCCAGTCAGCTCTTCTAGCTGTGTACCACTCTCTCATTTACCCTTACCTCACCTATGGTATTTGTACATGGGGGCTCAACCACAGCAAATCACCTTAAGCCTGTAATAACCCAGCAAAAAGCTGCAGTGTGATAGATTGCTAACTGCTGCATTAGACAACACACTCCACCTCTTTTCAAGAGTCTTAACTTGCTAAATATACAAAACATCCACACTTATTATTGTGCCTACTACATACACAGAACACTATACTATAATGTAAACCCTCCTCTCAAACTTCTCCTTAATAACTGTAACAGAACACACAACGATAATACGAGACACAGATCACTCTTCGATATCCCCCGTGTTCATGTCTCCCTATGCAAAAATACTATGTGCATAAAAGGCCCGAAGATCTGGAATTCATTGCCAGAACAAACTAAAGGACCCCTGTCTGCAAATCAATTTAAGGCCCAAATAAGAAATCACCTCATCACCCAAAATTAACCAGACAAACCATACCTAACCACTACCAGTTTCTCAAAAGCTACTCATATTGTGCTGATGAATACTCAACCACTTACTGCTTTGAAATTAGGATGTCTGTTCTTTTCATTGTTTCAAATAGTAGTAGATTGTAATACAGTACATCATAATGTAAATTGTTCCATTGTAATTACAAATTTCATTGTTTTAAATAGTACTAAACTGTATTACATCATATTGTAATTTTTTTTAAATTGTTACATTGTAATACTGTAATCTTTATTAACTAATTCAATAATGTAACAAGTCTCTACTAGACTTATCAAAACCATGTAGCATCACCTGATATAATATTCAGTTTTCCTCTACTCACTCTAAGCCATCTAATGACCATATGGACTATGTATTATTGCCTTACTGTTCTTAAGTTAATCTTTAAGTTTGCCCGAAATGCTCAGCATGCAGAGGGGCTTTTGGCATGTATACCCAACTACGTATTATATTCCTCTGTACAACCATGTAATTTGTCAAAATAAAATATCTAATGTAATCTAACATGCTGGGAGCAAGGAGCTAGTAACCCCTTCTGTATACATTACTAAAGTTAAAAAGACACTTGTTTTTATTTTGGGCCACCCTGCCTCAGTGGGATACGGCTGGTTTGTTGAAAGAAAGAAGAAAGATAACATTTCGTTCAGATTTTTAGCCCCGCAGGGTTAGCCTTCCAGGATAACCCAAGAAAGGCAGTGCGTCATTGAGGACTGTCTTATTTCCATTGTGGTCCTCAATCTTGTCCCCAAGGATGTGACCCACACCAGTCGATTAACACCCAGGTACCTACTTGCTACTAGGTGAACAGGACAACAGGTATAAGGAAACGCATCGAAATGTTTCTACCCCACCGGGAATTGAACCCGGGCTCTCCGTGTGTGAAGCGAGAGCTTTGCCAGCCAGGCCAAGGGATCTGTATATTTCACCCCTAGTCGGATGTTGAAAGATGGGCTGAGGAGGGGCACTGACTGAAGCCAAACTATACAGATCTCCTTTACCTGTTGTTTCATGTATACTGAATATTGTCATGATTTTTAGCAATATTTTTGCTACAGTAGTATGTAAACCCAACATAGTTTTGCTCCTTCACACTTCATGCACACACTGCATTTTTTCACTTGACAAGAGAAAATCCTTTTATTATTTTCTCTCATGGTCATATTGGGAGTACTGTGGATGACGAGTGCAATTCAAATTACAGAACAGGTGTGGTTCAAACCTGTGGTAAGCAAGTCCTAAAACTCATAGGTGCCTTAACCACCAGACCATGTTGGCTTAATAATTGCATCCAACTAGGTATAATTCTGTAGGAAGGTTAGCATGGACTACCAATGTGACCACAAATGTAATTTTTTTTTTTAGATGAATCTCACACCAGCACAGTTGTGGTATACTTGAGCTCAAGTCCCCTGAGAGCTGCCATACTGACTCATAAAGTTTTAGGACTCACTTGCCATGTATGCAGCATTTGTTTAGTCAGGTTAAACACCCTGGCTGAGTAAATGGATAGGTGATGAAATGGACTTTCTTATAGCTAGAAGGGCCTTGATGAGCCTGTCCTTGGCTGGTGTATTCATACATGCCTTAGCTAATCTACTTCATTTCACATATTATATGCTGTACCTTTTCATAGTGCATACTGAAGTATAAACAGTCTATTCTGATAACATTTAACAAGTAACAAAACAGGACAAAAGTTCCAAAAGTACTAAGTGCTATATTTGTTTCTTTTACAGCATACGAGAAGGGGCGTGATCGTCCTCCACTCACTGTATACACATTTCAACCTCCTGAAGGTCGTAGTGGTCCTGCATCTCCCCAGATCTGCTCCCAGCCATGTAGTCCAGTCTGTCTTGAGGTACATATACTACTTTTTTTCAGCAAGATAAGAGACTATTCACACAAAGCTATAAAAATCTTCATAAATTTTAGATTTATTTTTGTAGTGTAATATTGTTTCACTACATACTTATAGTTTTTCTTGAATATAACTTTGTCATAACAAATACATTTGTTATTTTTGAACAGCTTGAAAGTGGTTGTGTAAGTCCCCTGGTTGGCCTCACGGCAACCATTTCTCGACGATCCTCTCGCACTTCACTTCACCATAATCTTTCCTCGTCAAGCCAGGAAAGCCTCGCTCCTTCTGTAAGAAAAATGTATTTGTGAGATGATCTATTTATCTATTTGTAGAGAGTAGAGAAATGCTAATAATGTCTTCTCAGTTGTTGTTTACTGCATTATTTTTTTTTAACATGTCGGCAGTTTCCCACTGAGGCAAGGTGACCCAAAAAGAAAGAAAAAAAAAACTTTCATCATTATTCAACAATTCACCACCATGGTGGTGGCTGCCACAACCTGGCTAGTATGACAGTTGTACTAGCCAGGTTGTGGCAGCCACCACCAAAATTCTTATTACACACTTTCACCGTCACTTATACATAATCACTGTCTTTGCAGAGGCTCTCAGATACAACAGTTTAGATGTCCCTCCAAACTGCCAGTATCCCAAATCCCTCCTTTAGAGTGCAGGCATTGTACTTTCCATTTCCAGGACTTGAGTCTGGCTAACTGGTTTCCCTGAATCCCTTCACAAAGTATTACCCTGCTTACACTCCAACAGCTCATCAGATCCCAAAAACCATTCTTCTCCATTCACTCCTATCTAACACGTTCATGCCTGCTTGCTGGAAATCCAAGCCCCTCGCCCATAAAACCTCCTTTACCCCCTCCCTCCAACCTTTTGAGGATGACCCCTACCCCTCCTTCCTTCCCCTACAGATTTATATGTTCTCCAAGTCATTCTGCCTTGATCCATTCTCTGTAAATAACCAAACCACCTCAACAACCCCTCTTCAGCCCTCTGACTAATACTTTTAGTACTCCACACCTCCTCCTAATTTCCACACTCCAAATTCTCTGCATAATATTTACACCACACATTGCCCTTAGACAGGACATCTCCACTGAATCCAGTCGCCTCCTCACTGCAGCATTTACAACCCAAGCTTCACACCCACATAAGAGTGTTGGTACCACTATACTCTCGTACATTCCCTTCTTTGCCTCCATGGATAGCGTTTTTTGTCTCCACAGATACCTCAATGCACCACTCACCTTTTTCCAGATATGTCCATGCAATAAATCATGGGTAGCACTGCCTAGAGCCCTGATTACAATGCATCATGGGTAACACTGTTGAGAGCCCTGATCACAAACTTGCTCTGTGTTGAAAAATATTCGAAAAAAAAATTAATTTTTTTTTTTTTTTTTGCGATCAGTACGTACTTACTGAGATATAGAGGCGTGAAGTTGAAAGAAAGTGAATTGCCACTTCTTTCTTTCAACACACCGGCCATATACAGTCACAGAAACCCAAGGCAAACGGAAACCAAGCCTGTGCACATACTATGCACTTGGTATCTGCAGACATGGGAAATCTGGAAAAACAGATGGGACGTGCAACTATGACCACCCTAGAAAACGCCGTGCCCATATGACAACAGGAAAATGCAAGCTCCCTTCCTGTAAGCTTTTTCACCCTGAAATGTGTACCTCTTCAGTACAGGAAAGACTGTGCTATAACTTAAATTGCCAGGCACACCATCTAAAGGGGACAAAAAGATACAAAACATCCAGGCCATGGGAAAACCTGGGTAGCCACAGCCACTCAAGAGGGAGAGGTTTTTAAGTGCCAGGAAGGAAAAAAAACTGGCAGGAAATGGCAGAAATCGTACACCAAATCCAGTCATTCCTGGAGTGGAACCACAATCGATGGCCTCCACTCCAAACCAACAGATACAGATACTAATGCCGGAAAAAAAATCCCCCCCCAGTACCTACAATGCCACCAGTCCGATGACATTCTTCTTTGCAAATATACAGGGTCTAAAGCCAGCAACAAACAACAAAATACCTTTCATCCGTGGACTGCTTGCAGAGGCAAAGGCAATGTTCACGGCTTTCACTGAGACCCACATAAAGGATCACTTGGACAACGAAATATGGATCCCAGGTTACAACCTATACAGATGTGACAGAGTGAACAGGCAAAAGGGAGGGGTTGGCCTGTACATTGCAGAGTCACTTGTTTGCACAGAACTGCTTAATGCCTCAAATGATGTAGTGTAAGTTTTAGCAGTAAAGGCCGAGAACCAAAACCTAGTCATTGTGGTAGTCTACAAGCCTCCGGATGCAACATCCCAGCAATTCCAGGAACAGCTGTTAAAAATTGACCACTGGAAAATCTTCCAGCTCCTGCACCCAACATCTTGCTCCTGGGGGATTTCAACTTAAGGCACCTAAAATGGAGGAATATAACAAATAATATTGTTGCAGTAATAACACCAGGAGGCAGCTCTGATGAAAACTCACGCGAGCTTTTAAATCTCTGCACAAAATTCAATTTAAACCAGCAAATAATAGAGCCTACTAGACTGGAGAATACACTAGACCTCATCTTCACTAACAATGATGATCTGATAAGAAATGTCACCATATCAAAAACAATATACTCAGATCACAACATAATTGAGGTTCAGACATGTATGCGTGGAGCCCCAGACCGACATAATGAGATTAGTTACAAGGGAGCATTCACCAAATTCAACTTCAATAACAAAAACATAAAGTGGGACCAAGTAACCAAGTCCTAACCAATATAAGCTGGGAAGATATACTAAGCAACACAGATCCCAACTTATGCCTAGAACAGATTAACTTGGTGGCACTCGATGTATGCACAAGGCTTATTCCTCTAAGAAAAAGGCGTAGTAGATGTAAAATAGAAAGAGACAGGCGCTCCCTTTACAGGCGACGGAAAAGAATAACAGAGCGGCTAAAAGAGGTCAATATATCTGAAATGAGTAGGGAGACACTGGTCAGAGAAATAGCAAGCATCGAACTTAAGCTAAAGGAATCTTGAATATTAAAGTGGTATACAATACCGACAGGTTGGTAGGTAAGACGCAGGCAACAGTTAGGCAACTTTATTCCGAAACGTTTCGCCTACACAGTAGGCTTCTTCAGTCGAATACAGAAAGTAGGCAGGAACAGTAGAGATGTGAAGACGATGTAATCAGTCCATCACCCTTAAAGTCGTAGAATTTGAGGTTGTCAGTCCCTCAGTTTGGAGAAGTTCAGTTCCATAGTCAGGAACTATCTGAAGATCAAGTGACAGTGCGGAGACTTAAATACTGTCAGAAGGAGAGGTGCATAGTAGTAGTAGTAGTAGTGAGAATGTAGCCACTGAGAGGTCATGGCCTCTTGGTACAGAAAACACCTTGGACAACCCTTTCAAGTGAGAACTGTTGGATCTGAGAGGGACCTGACCTCTCAGTGGCTACATTCTCACTACTACTACTACTACTACTCTGCACCTCTCCTTCCGACAGTATTTAAGTCTCCGCACTGTCACTTGATCTCCAGATAGTTCCTGACTATGGAACTGAACTTCTCCAAACTGAGGGACTGACAACCTCAAATTCTACGACTTTAAGGGTGATGGACTGATTACATCGTCTTCACATCTCTACTGTTCCTGCCTACTTTCTGTATTCGACTGAAGAAGCCTACTGTGTAGGCGAAACATTTCGGAATAAAGTTGCCTAACTGTTGCCTGTGTCTTACCTAAAGGAATCTTATAGGAGTCAGGAATCGCAGGAAGAACTAAAAGCCATAAATGAAATCGAAAGAAACCCAAAGTATTTCTTCTCCTATGCCAAATCAAAGCCGAGAACAACGTCCAGTATTGGGCCCCTACTTAAACAAGATGGGTCCTACACAGATGACAGCGAGGAAATGAGTGAGCTACTCAAGTCCCAATATGACTCAGTTTTTAGCAAGCCGCTAACCAGACTGAGAGTCGAAGATCAAAATTAATTTTTTATGAGAGAGCCACAGAATTTGGTTAACACAAGCGTATCAGATGTTATCCTGATGCCAAATGGCTTCGAACAGGCGATAAATGACATGCCCATGCACTCTGCCCAAGGGCCAGACTCATGGAACTCCGTGTTCATCAAGAACTGCAAGAAGCCCCTTTCACGAGCCTTTTCCATCCTATGAAGAGGGAGCATGGACACAGGGGTCGTCCCACAGTTACTAAAAACAACAGACATAGCCCCACTCCATAAAGGGGGCAGTAAAGCAACAGCAAAGAACTACAGACCGATAGCACTAACATCCCATATCATAAAAATCTTTGAAAGGGTCCTAAGAATCAAGATCACCACCCATCTAGAAACCCATCAGTTACACAACCCAGGGCAACATGGGTTTAGAACAGGTCACTCCTGTCTGTCTCAACTATTGGATCACTACGACAGGGTCCTAGATGCACTAGAAGACAAAAAGAATGCAGATGTAATATATACAGACTTCGCAAAAGCCTTCGACAAGTGTGACCATGGCGTAATAGCGCACAAAATGCGTGCTAAAGGAATAACAGGAAAAGTCGGTCAATGGATCTATAATTTCCTCACTAACAGAACACAGAGTAGTAGTCAACAGAGTAAAGTCCAAGGCAGCTACGGTGAAAAGCTCTGTTCCACAAGGCACAGTACTCGCTCCCATCTTGTTCCTCATCCTCATATCCGACATAGACAAGGATGTCAGCCACAGCACTGTGTCTTCCTTTGCAGATGACACCCGAATCTGCATGAGTGTCTTCCATTGCAGACACTGCAAGGCTCCAGGCGGACATCAACCAAATCTTTCAGTGGGCTTCAGAAAACAATATGAAGTTCAACGATGAGAAATTTCAATTACTCAGATATGGTAAACACGAGGAAATTAAATCTTCATCAGAGTACAAAACAAATTCTGGCCACAAAATAGAGCGAAACACCAACGTCAAAGACCTGGGAGTGATCATGTCGGAGGATCTCACCTTCAAGGACCATAACATTGTATCAATCGCATCTGCTAGAAAAATGACAGGATGGATAATGAGAACCTTCAAAACTAGGGAGGCCAAGCCCATGATGACACTCTTCAGGTCACTTGTTCGATCTAGGCTGGGATATTGCTGCACACTAACAGCACCTTTCAAGGCAAGTGAAATTGCTGACCTAGAAAATGTACAGAGAACCTTCACGGAGCACATAACGGAGATAAAACACCTCAATTACTGGGAGCGCTTGAGGTTC